TTTCCCCCCCCCCCCCCCTGTTTCTTCTTCCAGCGTCGTGACCTGCTTTTCATTTTTTCTAGCCAAGTCCCACATCATCATTTCTTTGGCGTTCATACAGTAGGTAAAATTGTTCCCCTGGGGGAACATTTATGTTAGAAAGCAAAAATGACAATGTAATGAGGCTCGGGAGGGTGAGGATTCTTTTATTAGCATTTGAAAGTATTTGTAAAAACATTGTTTAATTAACTCTAATGTGTAACCAAAATGTGTAAGCATTTTAACTGATGACATATTCAACCTTTGCTCTAACACTACATTTGATGACAGCTTTATAGTTGGACTGTTGTTTTGAACAGAGTTACAGAATCAATATACAGAAATACAGGACCAGGATTTAATTCAATATCTCCTGAGAACTGTCCAATAGTTTCCTTTGATATTGGCAATATTGCCTGCTATGTTTCCACTGTTTAAAATATTACGGAAGTCACAGAATGATTGTTTTTAATACTGTATAAATCTTTTTGTGAACTATCCAATATTTTATACAGTGTAACATATCAATAAAAAAATTCCAGAGTGCATTCCATGTATAAAACTCTACGCCGAAGATAAGGCAACATTTTAAACTATAGATAGTATAGTAATTTGCCGAACTAGTGTATTATAAATATTTGGGATATATATTTGCTCGTATATTTGCACAAATTTGGTATTTAAATATATAATATGTGGTATTTGACTACTTACCAGATGAGGATAAGATTCCATGTTGATAAATAACTTCGGAATAATATCGCAAGTAGAATGGCGAGAAAACAACACAGCCAATTCAAGATAAATTGATATAAATATCAATATATTTTTGAAAGAATAACACGGCTACACGAGGCTGAAGTATGCCCGTTCGATCAGTATGATCGCTGATTGGCTTAAATTGCTGAATGGCTATCTGTTAACATACGGTACGGTACGGTCACGTTTGCGATAGCAATATATCTGCTTCGCAGATACAAAAAGGTACTGGGTTTTTATAGATTTTGCTCACAGAACAATTTGCATCTTGTCGACAAACTTTCCCAATACATCGTAACCTGTAGAAATGTATCCCTGCTCAACGCAAGCGTACTAAATCTTTTCGATGAATTCCTGATTTGTAATCGTTTTATCATCCTCAAAAAACGGGAACCCATTTCTCTCTAGTTCTTCTTGAGTTATTTCATTTAAGATTGTATTGTCAAAACTAGAGCAACAAATGTTGATACGGAGCACGAGCTGTTTATTAGCAAAAACAGGATATCGATAGTCATCTTGACGCTGTCCAACAAAAAAATGATGCAAATTTGTAGCGGCGTCGTGTCTTTACAGGATTGTTACAAGAACTGAGAGATCTCGTGTTTCAACGCCCGTCCGCGTTCTACGCAAAAAAAGGTTTTCCAATTGTCCGCCGGAAACCTTGATCAATTCAAAATCGTTTACTTTAATATCGCTCAAACTTCTGGCCTTTCTGGACTTCCATGACCTTTGTTTCCGACACCTTTTCCAAAGCATAGTCAAAGTACAAACATAACTGTACGTCCCTTTCCATCGTGATGCACTGATGATGCATTTGGGACAAATACTCTGTAATGTATCCGTTACAGTTTTCGAGAACGAGTTGAGAGATGATCGGAGCTATTTCTTCAGCTGAAATTTTCAAAAGTTCCTTTACGATAAGCTTCTGACGATGATAAAGAACTAATTCCTTATTATCAATGTCGATAGGCTCAGAACGAAGCGTGTTTGATCTTCACTTGACTGTTGATCGTTTCTTTTAAGTGCAAAACGTTTTGTGCTTAAAGTCGCACCTACCTATAAAAATATTTTCATAATAGAGTACGCGTTTGACAAAAATGGGTCAGTCTGTTAGCAAAAATCCAAAGGTCAACAAGGATCATAGCAAACAGAAAATGTTTAGAATCGGTATAAGTGTTGGCCGCAATGATCGCAATCGTGAAGGACATTTGCAGGCGGGATACAGTAGTAAGAACTACAAACCTATCGAAAATGGCTTGACAAATGATGAACACTGTATTTAAAATGACAGTATTGAAGAACAAAGCGAATCCTTCATTTCACTTGTGAACATGGACGAAAACCTATCTAACGTTTATTACGATCCAAAACATCCTGGAGGATTTGGTGGAGTGGATCGTTTGTATGATGACGTAAAAAAGGAAGGAAAGTTTGCGATAAGTCGTAAGAAAATTAAAGAATGACTGACTGGTGAAACAAGATGCTTATACGTTGCATAAACCCATGCGTCGCCACTTCAAACAAAATCGCGTCGTCGTAGACGGTATCGATCAGCAATGGAAAATGGATCTAGCTAGCGGACATGCAGTCCATGCAAACATTTAATGACGGTTACCGTTACCTGCTCGTGTGCATCGATGTCTTTTTCCAATATGCGTGATTATTTCTGCTGAAGAACAAAACGGGTCCTACACTGGTCGAAGCTTTCAAAGTCATCTTAGCGTCTGGGCGCAAACCTGAAAAGATCATGACGAAACAAAATTTTCGAGCGTTGATGAAAGAAGACATCGAACTGTACAACACGTACAACAAAACCAAAGCTTCTATCGTGGAACATCTGATTCGTACTCTAAAGACAAAAATGTGGCGCTATTTTACGGCCACGAAAACCATGAGATACGTGGACATGTTACCCGATCTGGTGTATTCTTACAATCACAGTGTTCGCCGTAGCAAAAAGACAAAACCCGCGGAAGTAACCGCTGAAAACGAAAAGAAAGTGTGGCAAACCCTGTATGATCATGACGCCGTGATGAATGTAAAGTACAGGCTTAAGATTGGCGATCAAGTTAGAATTAGTAAGATGAAACGAACGTTCGAAAAAGGTTACTTGCCAAAGTTCTCAAAACAGATCTTTACTATAAGCAAGCAAGCAAGCGCCTCGTGATCCCCCGGTGTAGACATTAAAGGATCTTGACGGTGAGAAACTCAAAGGAACGTTTTACGAGAAAGAGTTGCAAAAGGTGATCAAAGTAGATGACTCTAGGAAATCAAGAAAATTCTGAAGAAACGAGTAAGAGGCGACAACGTACATTATTTTGTAAAATGGTTAGGGTACCCCAGCAAATTTAATTCATGGGTGCCTGCTTCTCAAATAAAATTTAAACCGTTGATAACGTGTTGTCTGTTTGTTATTTTCATTTGTAATTCACAATGAGCGGAACACATTTTTACCTCACGCTTCCCGGCAATGCATCCTCGGATATCTTTCCCGATAACAAGACGACAAGTTATCAAGTCAAATTACCACAAGCTATTAATTTGAGTGGCGAATTGGAAGTGGGTTTGTATTCAATAAACTACCCTTGGACATGGTACACTCTTATAGTAATAATTTCGATACCCATATTTATACCAGTGATCAGAGTGGTCTTTTCAGTGCTACCATAATGGATTATGGCTTTTATAAAACAATGCCTAATTTGGTAAAATGTGTTAATAAAATTTTGGCCAAAGATGTGAGCGATAACATTAAGTTGACATCTGATGTTCGAACAGAAAAAGTTACAGTCCATTTATAAAACAAGCATCAATTGGTTGTGACTAATAAAATGTCAATCATGTTGGGGTTTGTTGGAAAAGAAATAAAAATAGTGAAAACGATAGCAAGTCCTTACGTAGCTGACTTACATGGTTTCATGGCGATCTATGTATATTGCGATATTGTGCAACCTCAAATTGTCGGAAATACCAGTGCCAAATTACTCAAAAGCATTCCCGTCAAGGGAAAGTTGGGTGATGTCATTACTAAAACGTCCACCAACATACAATACGTTTCAGTCCAAACCAAATTATTTGAAGATGTGGAAATTGTTTTATGGAACGACACAGGCAATCCAGTGCCATCTGAACGTGGGAAGGTGATAGCGACACTACATTTCAGATAGCATAGTTACTTCACTTGAAAAGATGAATAATCCTTACGTACGTTATTATTTGGATCAGCAGCAAGGGTGTGGGATGCCTGTTTTCTTAGGAAGTCCTTGGCAGATCAGTTATGGCCACCAGATGGACTATGGCATCGGGGGTCTGTTTCGCAGCATGGCAAGGGCGGTTTCATGGCAAGGACATTCTTATCAATGTCTATGTTATTTGTTGTAAATTCATCCAAAATCAAATCCATATATCGTAGTTAAAGCAAAACAACAAATGAAGACGTAACGTTAAGAACAAATTTATTATATAGAAAATTACAAAACACGTGATAAACACGAACAAAACTATATACAGTAACTTGTTTGCAAAATCATTAATAAATTCATGATCAGTTGTGAAATAGCGGTCTCTGATGCACCATAACTATTAAATGGTGGTTTGGTAAAGTTTACAACGTTTGATTCGTGAAGAGCCCATTCAAAAAACCGACACGATTTGTAAAAACATACAGTACGATCTTTATTGATGCCTTCCTTCTTCACCTTTCGAAATGCACACGAAAACCCATGATGACAAAGTGGTTTCACCATTGGTTCACATCACCCCATACCCAAGAGGAACACGGACTCTTCTTGTCAGAACACACGAAAAATGGTCTTCCATAACTTCCTTTCATCAAATCTTTGACGATACGCATTCTTGCAGGTTTATGATGCCCGTGGCATTGCGCATTGCGGTTGAGGCTGCTCCACAGCTATGGCTTTTTCAAACTGGTAACCTTCGTGTTCCAAGCAGAAGAAAATACAACTTGGGTTTTGACCACAAAACGAACCATTCTTCGTTGTCGATGTAGAAGCAGATTCTCCGTGTAAACATTTCATAGTGAAGTCTATGGTGGCCTATGCGTGCCATAAGAGTTTCCAGTACTTTTTTAAAGATTCCAAGCTTTTTTTCACTCTATTTATCGATTTTTTTATTTCAATCTCTTTACTTTACATTATAATTATAAATCGTTTTATTTTATTCAGTATAAGCAAAATGATTTTTATTTTCCAAGAAAACGTTTCAAAATTTTGATTTGTTTTGTTTCAGTTTTGTTTTGTTTTGTTTCAGTTTTGTTTTGTTTCAGTTTTGTTTGGTTTCAGTTTTGTTTTATATTAATAATAATAATAATAATAACTTGAAGCAGTTCAGTTTTCAAAAAACTAAACCGAGTCCATGGCCTATGACTGCCATAGCCCACAATCCCCTGCAAACATACCAAAAATATATTATACTACATGAAGTATTGAGTGGTATTTTTTGGTAAATATGTAAATATGGCGGAACGCATTAGGAACTCTGATTGGGAAAATGATGAAGAGATGAGACAAGACCTTGAAAAATATGTACAGCGAAATTTGAGACGAGAAGAGATCTTAGACTTTATGATTGCGGGTTATCCCATGTATGCATGGAGCATTCGCAGTTTAAGTCGTAGGCTTCAACATTTTGGTATTAAAATACACGGACTATGACAATGAATTGGAAGACGTTAAGAGGCTGTCTCCGTAAAAACCTCCAGGTCAATATGGGGCTCAAAAATAGATTTCTCTCATACTCTAGTATTTTGAAGATCTATCCTTGGGAACAACTAAAATCGATGTCATTTTACTCAAATTTCCTTTAAATTATTTTTGGGGGCGATTGATGTTCGATCGACTGGTAACCAACTTGATACTCCGAATGAAGGCCAAATATCGACATATTTTCAGCGCTATTTTTCAAATCAAATTCATACCTAAATTTCAAAATTTTTGCTCAGAAATATAGATTTATCCTTTTATTTTCGTCGGTGATACAACTTAGATCATTATTCTTTGGTATAAAATAGAAAACAGA